TAGAAAAAGCGAGAAGAAGAAGACGATCGTAAACCGGGGCGTTTAGGTTCAATTAATATATCTGATAAATACTTAGGAAATAATTTAGATTGAGACTTATACATGAACGTGCAAATTTTAAAAATTATTCTATATTTTATAGGTAGCCAGTGCAAGAGAACAAGATATGGAGATATATGAGAAAAGAAAGGGGCACGAGCAACTAGACGAGCAACAGAGTTAAAAGCTTTACTTAAAGGATAGAGTATAGAGTCAGGAAGACCATAGTAGAGCGAGTTACAATAATAATCCTAGATAAGACTAACGAAGTAACAAGAAGGAGAAGAGTAGGAACATCAAGAAAAGGCAAAAGTTTTTTTATTCTACGTAGATGAATGTAAGAACTTTTTGCAACACTATTAATCTGAGAAGAGAGAGACATAGTAGAATCAAAGATAAAACCTAGACTACGAAACTTATGAGAGACATCAAGAGTTTTAGAATCAGGTAAGATAATAAGAGGAATAGTAATAGAGTGTTTAGATTTATTAAAACAAATTAATTCAAACTTAGAAGGATTAAGTTTAAGACACGTAGAGTCAGACCAAGCGATAATCGAAGAAAGACATAGAGATAAATTATGAAGAACACTATTGAGATTAGATGGAGGAAAAGAAGTATAAATATAAGAATCATCAGCATATAGTTGACTAGAGAAAGAAAAGTTATTAATAATACGAGGTAGTTCAGAAGTATAGAGTATAAATAGAAGAGGGCCAAGGATAGAACCCTGAGGTACCCCGAAAGTAAGAGTAGAGGAGTTAGAAGTAGAATTATTGAGAACAACAGAAGAAAAACGATTACAGAGATAAGAAGAAAACCAAGATAGACAAGAATCAGTAATATTAAAAGAAAGATGCAGCAGTCTCAAGAGAATAGTATGGTCAAAAGCTGAAGAAAAGTCAAGAGCAAGAAGAAGAGTAAGATTACTATTGTCACTAGAGATAAGGATATCATTGTGTATTTTAAGTAAAGAAGAAATGAGGAATAATAATTAATACATTAAGAAGTGTAAAATAAAAAATTATTTCAAGTCTTGTTGCATATACAATACAATACATTGTTGGTTATACATGTAGTTTTTCCCAGCAGTTCTGCTCATCACACGATCAAACTTGTAAATGAAAAACAGTTCATCAAAGACATATGTAGTTACTTCTTTCGCTGCAGCCAAATGACTAGGATAGCTACGACGACGACAATGATGATGAGAAGAACTCCAAGTGACAATCCGATGCCCAATCCTAATTTTAATCCCAGATCCGACGGAGAAGGAGTAGTCGCTGCCGATTGAAATGGTAAAAATGTTGGATCTGTTGTTGGTGAAGCTGGTATTTGTGGTGATGGCAGAAATGTTAACGTTGCTGGTAGTGTTGTAAAAGGTGTGCGTGTGGATTTCATTCTAATAGTTGATGACGTCATAGCTATGACAGCCCTCTGATATAAACAGATTGGAATGCCGCAAAGTTCATCAGCATCACATTTATAGGTACCAGATAGAAGAGTCAGGCAAAAATATCGTTCAAAATAAAATCTACCCAGTCACGTTTTAAAAAAGATAGATAATGATTTACGCATTACATACTTTTTAAGTTAACATCTAATTAATTCCATATAATAAACATGCAGTTTGAAGAAAGTTTAAATGAACGAATAAAAAAAATGTTCGACATGTTGAATATTCTCAAACAGCTCAACAATGCATGGATCTCGTTGGCCAAGTTTGACGCTTGTTTGTAAGTATTGCAAATTGTAGTTGTACGTGTATATATATTTGTAGAGAGAAGGAAAAAATGAAGAAGAAAAGAGGTAAAGAGAAAAATTGAGAGAAAAAGTGAGGGAGAGAGAGAGAGAGAAAGAAAGAAAAAGAGAAAGATATTATACTGTTTTATACATAGAACTACAAATTAATTCAGAGAGAGAAAAAGAGAGAGATATAGATAAATCTAGAGAGAGAGAGAGAGAGAGAGAGAGAGAGAGAGAGAGAGAGAGAGAAACGCAGTGTACCTACGTTAAATCTCCTCTCATTGTTCAGCTCTTGCAAGTTGTAGCAACCTGAAACATAGAAGACGAACACAGTATAATGTTATAGTCGTGATCATGAAATGTTCATTCATTATTATTATTATTATTATAATTATTATTATTATTATTATTATTGTTGTTGTTGTTGTTGTTGTTGTTGTTGTTGTTGTTGTTGTTGTAATTATTATTATTGTTCATAATCATGATCGTCATTTTATTACCGTCACCAATTCTAATTTTTGGCACTTAAACATCAACATGGATGTTGACCATCCAAATTATCACATAATAAAGACCCAAACGATACACTCAAAGTATTTTAGTGATGAAGTTTCCGGTAGATAAGCCACACTGACCTGGTTCAAATGCAAGATAACCCCTATCTATCATGCATATGTAGGTGTGCCAGATTGTTTCGCACACTCGCTAATGTTTGAATGTGTATGTAATAAGATGACTCTATAGGCACCGAATAAATAATTCTTTAAACTTGCATATATATAAAGTTTGATTTGAAATATAAGACATGCACATATATATATATATATATATATATATATACATATATATATATATATATATATACCCACATACGTACACACATACATACGCACATATACACATACATACAAACACACACACATATACACGGCTCTGAGTCGACTCTATTTTCATAAGAAGATTTTAATTCTTCAGAGTGTGCTTTAGTGTTTTAACTCATAAAAACTGATTTTAAGATGTTTGTATATTATTTGTTTTTCCTTTAAGCTTTTTTAACTATAGTATAGTAATTTTCTGAAATTTCAAATTAATTTCAACACAAATTCATTTTGAATAAATCGAATTTTATTGAAAATATCACATTTAAAACAATCAAATCATCAATAAATATGATCTAACAGGGTTATTAAAAATCATGAGAAAAATATCAATTGTCAAAACTAATAGAAATTGAAAAAGCAAGCAATTCAATAAAAAAATATAACATTAAAACAAGCGTGTGTGTATGTATGTGTATGTATATGTGTATGTATGTGTGTATGTATGTGCGTATGTATGTGTGTATGTGTATGTATATGTGTATGTATGTGTGTGTGTATTAGAGATGAGCATGGGAACGGGAATTGTGGGAATCCCATGAGAATTGGTTGAACTTAATTTTCTGGAATGGGAATTTTAGAAAATATGGAATCGCATTTCGGGAATCGAGATTGACAGGCGGAAACTGGAATGTGAGCAAAATGACATCTAGGTGCGAAAATAAAAACTTATAAGTATATATATATATATATATATATATATATATATATATATATATAGTACAGAAAAGCTCTTTTTGGCACCAACTTTTCAATCGATCAGCAATGCAATAACTAGTCAACTAAATAATACCAATATTCCTCCAACAAAGAAACACATGATTAACTTTAATTCTAATTAAGTTACAATCAAAGTCGCCGTAAAAACAAAGGCACAAAGACGGAACAATACTGTATATATATATATATATATATATATATATATATATATATATATATATATATTTATATATGTATATCCGTACACATGTGGTCGACGTGTATTTATATAAATTCAGAAATTTTGAAAATGGGAGAAATGGAATATGGATAGGAATGGCGGGGAAACGCGGAGATGAGTTAAAAAAATATGGAATGGGAATTTTCGGAAAGGTTGTCAAAGGTTGGAATTCGGGAGAGAAGAGGGAGAGGAATGAGAAAAAAAAGTTGGAGGTATGTAAGTATATATATATATGTGTGTGTGTGCATTATGTATGTATGTGTGTATGATTACCAAATAAATGATTGGAAAAAAAAATGTATATGTGTATGTGTATGCATTATGTATGTATGTGTGTATGTATGTGTGTGTGTATGTATGTGTGTGTTTGTGTGTGTCTTTTATTTCAAATCAAATTTTATAACCCTTTAAATAATGACAAAGTCTGGTTAAATAGGATATATGGTGTGGTATTTACTGAATGTGTTACGTGTTGAACTTAATTCATTTTTATTCAAATAAATATTAGCATCGTCATTGTTGCCATTGCTGTTAATGTTGCTTGCGTTGTTGTTGTTGTTATTGTTGTTGGTGTTTGTGTTTAGTTCATTAGCGTTGAAATAGATCTCACTAGGGTTGTTGTTGTAGCCGTAGTTATCGCGGTTTTGTTGTTGGTTAATGTCACGATAATTGAAGTAGAAGTCATTTTCAGTGGCACTATTGATGTCTTGAATGCGATTCTTGTTAATGTTCTTTTTGTGGAAGTCCAAGACCACGTAGTTCAGTGGCTCGTTGTTGTTGTTGTTGTTGTCACCATCGTCGTTGTTGTTGTCACCATTGTTGTCGTTGTTGTTGTTGTTTTTTCTGTGAAGTTGGACAACCGGGGCGTAATGATTCATTACGTAATCTGACGTTCCCCTAATTTAAATTAAATGGCGGTTAATTTTTTGTAATTTTTTTCCTCACATTTTTCATTTTAGACTTTTTCGAAAATTTATTATTGTATAATAATTATAATATTAATTATTTTTAATATATTATATTACATTTTTATATTATATATATATATATATATATATCATTTATTGTATTATATTATTATATTATATACATTACTTATTATAATACATTATTAAAATAATTATAGTCATTAATTATGTGTGTATAAAAACTTACAAATTTTTTCTTCTTCTGACGATGATGAAGATGACGATGATGATGAAGATGATTAATGATGGTAGACCAATTCCTAAGCCAATAGCTAGTTGCTGTGATAGTGATAATGATGATGATGGTGGTGGTGATAATTCTGGTGATGATGATGATGATGATGACACAATTGCAGCTGATGATGATGTTGCAGTTACTGTTAAAGTCGAGATGACAGTCGTTGGAAGTATTGTTGATGATGATCGTGTTGTTGATTCTATGTTTGTCAATGTTGTTGTTGATGCTGGTGTTGTTGAGCCAGTTGCTGTTGTTGTTGTTGTTGTCGTTGTTGTCGTTGTTGTCGTTGTTGTCGTTGTCGTTGTTGTCGTTGTTGTCGTTGTTGTCGTCGTCGTTGTTGTTGTCGTCGTCGTTGTTGTCGTTGTTTCAGTTGAATCTGTTGACTCTAACGTCCCCCCAGCTGCCACTGAAAATTTTATAAAGTTAAATATTTGCATAATATGATCCATATTTATCTCTTAAATTTAAAAAATTTCATGTTTAAAGCCATGAATTTCAAATTAATTATACACCAAACTCCAATTATTATTAATCAATGATTGGACAAACGATGGAGTGAATGAATGGTTGAACGAACGAACGAACGAATGAACGAATGAATGAACGAATTTGTGAATAAATATAACAAATATGACTTATATGGAACCATAATCAATAACAAACTAGTGATAAATGATAGAAGGATAAGGAAAAAGAACGAGTTTATCATCTTTGCGATTGGCTTATTATCGATATCTAATCGAAAAATAACTTTTTCAGAAATCTAGACATATATGTGTGTGTGTGTGTGTCTGTGTGTGTGTGTAATGTTAATATAAATGATATTTAACATGAATGTATGTAACGTACACAGAATTCTATTGCGATGACTTCCTAATAAACAGTGCTGACTGAATTGCTTGCCATTTACATTATACAAATGTGCACAATATACGCACACGTGTAAACACACACACTCTCTCACAAACACACAACACACACACACACAACACACACACTCTCTCACACACACACAACACACACACACACACACAAACATACTTAAACACATACAAACACGAATATTTGCACACACACACACACACAAACAAAGACATACATAAACTTACAAACATTTAATTTCACTTAAGCTCAATTTTAAACACACATACACTGCACATACACACGGATATAGACAAATACATTCGTATACAATCTAGACACACACATTCACTCGCATACTGGGAGAGATAGAGAGTGATAGAGAGTGAGAGAGAGAGGGAGGAGAAAGAAGAGAGGAGAGGGGGAGAGAGTTGAGAGCTACAACACTACGAAAGCTTCACAATACCCCAGCAGGCAACGCAATATTATGTTAGACGAATTTTTGATGTACATGTATATAGGTGACTTTGTCCATACCGCGTTTTAAATTTTGCGACTAATATTAATAATTAAAATATTATAAATAATAAAATAATAATAACAAAATTATTGAAAATAATTGTCCTAAAAATAATAATAGCACTAAGATTTCACTTGCCAGTAAAATATAAACGCGATTGGCTGGATTAAATAATTGGGTGATGCTATTCATTCGTTTATGGATGTCATACGTTTCCAAAACTTTCAACCATTCCTTTTCCAATAGACCAGTGCGTAAATCATTGCACGAACTTTGTAAATTTATACCTGAATCGTACAAACATATTAACACATAGCACATATACAATCATTTTTGTTTTTTTTTTATTATTATTCTTTAAAAATCAGGATCTGACAGACGCAGAAACTGTAACAACACGAGAGGCAGTAGTGCAAAATTAAACATATAAGTGAGTAAATAAATACAAAAAGCGAGGAAGAAAAATGTTGAAAAAAAAATGAAATAAGTTAGAATAAAGTAAATAATAATAAAAAAAAGTAATTACTGATGATTTAAGCGTGTGTGTGTGTGTGTGTGTGTGTGTGTTGTGTGTGTGTGAGAGTAGTATACAACCACACACAATCCAGTGTGCTATCTTCTATTAATTTATATGTGTAATTGCGCGCGTACACACATGTCGACATTAAGGAAGTTATGCTGAGAAATAAATGTTTATCATTCCAAAGTTGATCATTATTCACATGTGTAAACTTATCAATATACATATTTTCGCCTTGATTCATTTGAGTTATAACACAGATGTCGTTATTTTTATTGTTATATTTGTTAATAGTATTAATCAATAAAGCGGTTTTCTTCTTTTTTTTTTGTTAAAACTCAGTCACACAAACACACATGTTACAACACAAAAACACATATATTAACTAGGAATATACACTGTGTGTATGTGTGCATTGTATGTGTGTGTGTGCATGTGTGTGTGTGTGTGTGTGTGTGTGTGTGTGTGCGTTCGTGTGTGTGTGTTGTAAAAAACGTGGTGTGATCTCACCAGAGTTAATTTTAGATTTATAATAATTCCACCATGAAAGCTGAACAATGAGTTCTATATTTGGTTGGAACTGCTTGGGAAGTACGTTAACACGTTGAAAAAATAATACCAAGATTAATTATTTAATTTGTACTACTACTACCACTACTACTACTACTACTACTACTACTACTACTACTACCACTACTACTACTACTACTACTACTACCACTACTACTACTACTACTACTATTACTGCTACTACTACTACTACCACTACTACTACTACTACTACTACTACTACTACTACTACCACTACTACTACTACTACTACTACTACTACTACTACTACTACTACTACTACTACTACTACTATTACTGCTACTACTACTACTACTACTACTACTACTACTACTACTACTACTACTACTACTACTACTACTACTACTACTACTACTACTACTACTACTACTACTACTACTACTACTACTACTATTATTAACTACTACTACGATTAAATTTAAAATTGATACTTATATGTGTGATTTCATGATTTTTATATATTTATCATAATAATAAAGAAAAAACATAAAACACATTTAACATTTTTAAAAATTAACTTTTATTTCTGGAAAATATTCAAAAAAGAAGATAATCAAAATAGCGTACTAGAAAGAATCTTACGCAATGATATCATTCATGATTCCTCTAGAGATTGAACTAACACATGGGTGGGCGAACTACGGCCCGCGAGGCTACTTTATGCAGGGCCCGCGGGGCCTTGTTCGCCAAAAAAAGGACCCACAAATCTTAACAAAATTCTTTCCCGGGTCGAAAAAATTTGCTATTTAAGTACTATGCGGCCCTTCAAAGATAAAATGGTTTTCAATGCGGCCATCACGGCAAAATGTTTGCCCACCCCTTGTCTAAAATTAAAGAAAGTATATGTAAAAATAAATAATCGTTGATCATATAAGAAGCTACTTCTACAAGAGAAGAATAAAAATTGGTACATAATTGAAACATAAATAGTTCGAAATGCGTTAACACACACAACCAAAAACACACAACCATCACACACACGCACGCACACACACACACATGCAGCACACACACACGCGCGCACGCACAGATATATAATAAATAGAAATAAATGAAAATATAAGTTGTCTATCTACATTAAAAGATGAATAGTTTAAACCGAGTGTTATTAAACAGTTTTAATAGAATGGATCTGGCTAATAAAAATTGCAATTAAATGTTGAATTCATAATTAAATGTATGGTATGTAATTTCTTTTTAATGTTATCTCAGTTATTGTTGTTAATGTTGTTGTTGTTGTTGTCATTGTCTATTAGTTTATGTATCTTGAAAATTTTGTTGATATCATTAAAGTTGCGATGATGTTTATGGTGTTGTTGTTGTTGTTACTGCTCTTGTTGATGTTATTATTGTTGTTGTTTATGTAATTGTTGTTGTTGATGTTATTGTTGTTATTGATGTTATTGTCGTTGTTTATGTAATTGTTGTTGCTGTTGATGTAGTTGTTGTTGTTGATGTAGTAGTTGTTGTTGATGTTGTTGTTGTTGATGTAGTTGGTGTCACTCCGGATAAAAAGTTTGATGCTTGTTCTGGCCAGCAATTGTGTTTTTTACGTTGTTGTTGTTTCGCAAATTGTAGTAGTTATTATTATTTTTGTTATTGTTGTTATTGTTGTTGATGTTATTGTTAGCAGTTTGTTGGAAGGCCTTACCAAAACTATCATCATTATTTCGGTTGTTGTTGTAAATGTTCATTACATCAACGTTGCTGTAACTGTGAATGTTGACGTTGTTGTTTCTGTTGTCATACTGGTAAGTATTGTTGATGTTGTTGTTGTTGTTGCTGATGTTATTCGTGTTGTTGTTGCTGTTGTTGTTGCCACCTTCAAAAGCGTGGTTGTAGTTAGCAACAGCGTATTGATTGTTGCGGTTGTTGAAGTCCAACTCGACGTAATGAAGCGCCACAGCAGTGTCTCCGCTGCTGGTGACGCTGCTACCAGACAGCTGCTTGACCACCGGAGCGTAGTGAGGAAAGCGGGAAGATGATGATGAACGCGATGGTGAGGGTGAGGAAGTTGATGGGAGTGGAGATAGTGAGGCTGGGAGGGGGAGTTGCATTCGTTTGAAGGACTGTCTTTTCCTATCGCAGTCTCTGTTTTAAGTGGTTTGAATGCTTTTCTCATTTTTTTATAATCAAATTTATTTAATTTGATTTTAAATTTATTTAATTTTAATTTATTTAATTTTATTTATTATTTTTGTTTGTTTGCGGATGGTAAAAAAAAATTCCCAAATTTAATCTCATAAAAAATTGAGACCAACATTTTCCCTTTCTTCCACAAGATGACGACAACAGCGACTATGACAATGAGAAGGATTCCGCAAGATAGACCAGCACCAAGACCCGTTTGAAGTGACGATGACGATGATGATGACAATGATGATGTTGATGATGAGAATTTTGATGATGAGAATTTTGATGATGAGAATTGTGATGACGACGATGTATATTGTTGGGAGGGAGCTGCTATTGTTGCTGGCATCGGCTGCAGATTCTGTTGCACCAATGGTGGTACTACTACTGATGATGATGTGACTGCTGAAAATTATTGAATGAACTTTCTAAAACTATTAGAATTAGTTTTCATTTGTATAGTTTTTTTTTTTTAATAAATCTTCATGAACTTTTATGAAATTCTCAAACTTTAAATAACCGAAAAATTTTGCAGGGGTTGATAAGTCGATAGATTTTGTTTCAATGGAAGCTGAAACATTTTTTTTTCAAATTTTATGTTAAGATGTGATTGAAACAACAATGTAAAAAACTGTGAGTAAAATTTACACTTACTTTTGTTATAACAAATATATTTGAGAGGTCTATCCTTTTGATTTTGCTCATTCCAATAGTATTTCCCCATATCATATTCTCTTAATATTGTGATAGCTACAGTGCTATTATTTAAATTTCTTAAAGTTGACTCGCTATCAGCAAAAAAATATTTTGTAATTTCTTTATTGTCAGATGCCCAAAATAATTTTTTGTTCTTATCAACATTTATGTTCAACCATATATCTTGGCCTGGATCAATGCTCAAATTTTTAACAATATCGTAAATGTTATCCTGAATGTCTGGGCTTCTTATTTCAAGAAGGATTTTCTGTGATGATAAGCAGCTAGTTTTAGCCTCTGATAAGCCGACGTGAATCCCATTATAACTAAAACAGTAGCCACCGTAGCATAATTCATGTAGAACAGCCGTGGAAGTTTGGAAATGATCCAAAAATCTGAAAACTGCTAAATGCAATCGAGGGGATATGATATGAAAATAAAAAATTGTTACATTTTATAAAGATTAGTATTGAGTGTTTTTTTTCACAAAATAAAATCAGAAATTTTTAAAAATTTGTGAAAGACAACGGACTTGAACAATTTCATGATGATATTGTAGAAAAATTACGTTAAAAAGCAAAAAATGATGCTAAATTTAAAAAAAAGGATTCTCAACCCACCAAGTAACATTCCAAAAATGAAATTCCTCATTTTCCCAGCAGCAGATAAGATTTTTTAATAAAAATATTAATCTTTTTAAACAATATCGAAGATTGAATCTTAAAAATTGCAATCTATCAGATAATTTTCCTAGTAAGTTGAAACAGTAAAATTTAACAATACACTTGTAAAAATAAGCACATGAGCTAAAAATCTCAGCTTGTGTTGTGTATAAACACAAATGAATGTACCGTATATTGCTTCTGCTGTACGCTGTTAGCAATATGATTTGAATATGATGACTGAAGTTTAAACAATGCACAAATTTCTATGCCGCGTAATTAGAATATATAAAATATATATAAAACATTCCCCAACATCCTAGTTTGACGGCTCACAAATATGAGTATAGGCAACAACACCGCACACAGACACACACACACACAGACACACATAGACACACACACTCACACACAGACACACTCACTCACACACACACACACACCTAAATTTATAAATGTTGTTTATGTATTTTAACTAAAAAAACTTAAAACATTGAATTAATTCCAAGCAGTCTTTTTCATTATTAACTTTCTTTTACATGCCTTTTTCTAGAAAAATTTCACATTTTGTCATAATTTGGTAAATTCTAGTAAATTCGATCGATAAAAATGTCTAAGTAGTAATGTAACGTTACAAATGAAGATGTTTAACATTATATAACACGAGGTGGAACATAAATTTAACACTTTTGCAGAAATTAAATTTTATTATTATTATTATTATATATTATTATATTTTATATAAAGTATGTGTGTATGTGTGTGTGTGTCTGTGTATATATATTATATTATTATATATATATTATATTATTATACATATTATTAAATCATTATTCACCATTAAAAAACCTAATAAAGCCCATTATTGAAATTTCGGGTTAGAAATATGTGTTCGTCTAGCATAGTTTAAAATGTTTAAGTTTTTGACAAAATTCTTGGCAATTGGCCATCCCCACTTTACCATTTTTATTTCCTCAATTGTTACATTAGTATTAAAATAACCTGTTGGTATTAGCGTTGGAAATAATTAGCAGCTTTAGTTTTTTTTTATTGCTAATCGACAACACGAATTTACGACACAGTAGAAACTTTTACACAAGTAAAGAATTAAATATCATACGCAGTATGATTCGAATTACGTTATTGACATCCTGGTTGGTTTGCAAATATCTTAGACAAACATGACATGATAAGAGAGAGGAAGAGAAAGAGAGAGAGAGAGAGAGAGAAAAGGAGAAAAGGCATCACTTTGAAAGATTTTTTAGTAGTTTTAATTTAGTTTAGCACGAATCGTTTGAACGCTTTTTTATGTTCTAATAAACAAAAATGATCGTTATTTTGATTCTGGCTAGTGAGTTTCGAGTTTTTAGAAATTTTCACCAGTTTTTTTTCACTCATATAAATTTTAAAAACTGTCTCATTATCATTGTATGTATGTTTGGTGTAGTAGTGTGTGTTTGTGTGTGTGTATGTGGTGTGTGTGTGTGTGTGTGTGTGTGTGTGGTGTGTGTATGTTTTTTTTCTTCAAAAATATACATACATCGTAAAAACTATAACTATCTTTTTGTGGAGCATTATTTTAAATGTGAATTGTATAATTTATTTTGAAAAGTTTTAATGATTTTAATTTAAAATTTTTCAGCCCAAGGAATCATAACAAAGTCAATAGCCCAAAATGTAATTAATAATCCAACATCACCCTCTTCAACACTATCATCATCACCACCACCATCATCATCATCATCGTCACCATCATCGTCATCATCATCGTCATCATCATCGTCACCATCATCGTCATCATCATCGTCATCATCATCCTCACCATCATTATCACCACTACCACCACCATCATCACCACCACCATCACCACCATCATCATTCTCAACACCACCATCGATTTTGGTTGCCCTTGTATTTGGATGGATCATAGCTTCACTGTCGCTGGCTGCCATCCTCATCATCATTTTGGTCAACTATAAAAAAAATATTACGTAAGAAAAATATGTTTTCGTTCATAAATTTAAAATTTACTTAAGATTAATATTAATTTAGATTAATAATAATTTAATATGAAAAATACGACCAATTGTGTTTCATTGACATGCAGCCATGTTATTTTCATGTAATATTATTCAGCTTTGTTTATTTGGAGCGTATTTTTATATACAAATTGTTTAAAATTGAAAAAGTTGTTGAAGTATTTCCATGAAAGATTAAATTGTAATTAGATGTATGTCTGTATTTACACACGCCACACACACACACACATACAAACAAACACACTAACACACACAGGTTTTTAAGTTGGAAAATTAACTTGGGACTGAAAAATCGTTCAAACTCCACGCTCGCAAATACGGAAAACTTGGAACACATTGTCGACAACAATGTTGATAACAATGTTGACAACAATGTTGACAACAATATTGACAACAATGTTGACAACAATGTTGACAACAATGTTGACAACAATGTTTACATCAATGTTGACATCAAATCTGGAAGCTTTGTTGATGAAGAAAATGTCTACGAGTTGACCAGCGTTGGAAATACCGACGACGATCACCTCTACCATAATGTTCGTCTTGGAAATCAAAAAGTGAGGAAGGTTTCAAAGGTGACAAAAGGATAGCAACGCCATATAACATGGAATGTTTGCCTTCTGGAATGTTTGCCCTCTGGAATGTTTGCCCTCTGAAGTGTTTGCCCTCTGGAGCGTTTACACGTCTTAATTTAGGGACACAATTTCATTAATATAACATATTTCAATTTTTTTTGTGTCCTCTTAATTTTTGAAATCAAATGTTTATCCTGATTAGGCGCTACGGAAATGTTTCTATATAAAAAATATTTTGACAAAATGAAGATATATTTTCCTCTATATATCTATTTATATCTTATTCACTTACAAGTTCATGTAAAGTGTTTACGTACGTGCCGTACAAACAGAACGAAAGCAATTGATTGTTTAGGTTAGATTAAAAGAGCAGAAGAAAATATAAAGTTATTCAGTTACTCTCACCATCATCCTTATCTTCTTTTTCTCGTTTTTCTTTTCTCTCTCTCTCTCTCACTTTTTCTCTTTGTTTCTCTCCTTTTTTCTCTTTCTCTCTCTCGTTCTTGTTCCCTCTCTCTCTTTCTCTCTCTCTCTCTCTCTCTCTCTCTCTCTCTCTCTCTCTCTCTCTTCCTTTCTCTGAGTTCCTAAAAACTATGAAAGCTTGAAAACATAAACAGCTAGCTAAGGTATCAACAATATGATATTGAGTTTAATAGTTTAATTCCAAATGTATGTGTATACGTATGCATGCGCGTTTTGCAAGTATCAACACATGCTTGTACGGCTCGATAGTTTTTGTAATAACAACTTTGCAGTTGTTTTAACTGTTTAAGTGAGGAACTTTATTCAAGGGAGAGAGGTGTGTCAAACTAAGAAGCTAGATAATTTGTTTGTTCTTTTCGTTTAGCAATGTTCCGTGCAATCATATATGGTAAGATTTTATCTTCCGTCTGTATGCAGTTCATTGTGAAGATTTTATTTCTTTAATTTAATTATTTTAAACTAAAATTTGTTATCTTTAATTGATGCTAAAATAATTTTTTGACAAATTATCAGTCGTTTTTTTCGTTAGTACTGGATTTGTGAAAGTAACTGTCAATCTAGAATCAATAGATATAAAATACTTCCTAACTCTTTCATCATTTGAAAATTGTATCCAATCTATCTAAATTAAGAATTGTATCTATTCAATCTAAATTGAAAATTGTATCTAATCCATCAAAATTGAGAGTTGTATCTAATCTGTTTTAATCTAATCAATAATAAATAAAAAAAAATCTATCTAAATTGAGAACTGTATCTAATCTATTGCATACCCATTGCATAAAACCATTAAATTTATTTTACTAATTCACCATTTGCGAACTTATATCATAAGTTATCTATTATTTTTCGAGTTATTAACCGCCTTTTTTTAAGTGCTGATCATTTTATATTTGTATAAACAGTTTGAGATATATTCCTTATCTTCGCAACAGATAAATATCTCAAAAAATGTTATAAATACCTTATAAAAAACCTCAGGTAGATAGATATCTTAAAAAATTTTTTTTAAACACCAAGTGCTATCTTCAATTGGAACATTCCACTCAGCATCATGTACAACCAGCCCGTGTAGTACAAGTTACTGTTTCGCGTACAACAACATCGTCAACGATTTGGCAACGGCCAAAACATTTTGTACACTAAACAACATGAAACTTTATGAGTATAAAACTCCTGAAATTTTATCCCAACTCTATAGCGTCAATAAATTGTGGGACTTTAATATAGTTGGACAAGAAATATGGTTGAACATATACAGGAATGGAGATAGTTTATATTGGGTATCGGATAACTCCAAACTGACTAAGTACTTATTTCTTGATAACAAAACATCTTTGAAGACTGACACAGTGGCTTTAACGATGTACGTAGGGGCTGATTTGGAGAAAAGTTACTGGAATGAACAGAGTTCAGCTACTGACATGTTCAAATATGTTTGCTATAGTGAAGGCTAGTAAAATGTTTCCCTTTATTTCAATCTCTAGTAATCACTACTGCTAATTATGCTTTAGTTAACTGTTAGAACAGTGCACATAATGGCATGTAATATGCGGGGGTCACTCCGCGTTTGAACCCGGTTACTGCAGCTTTAGGACCAGGCGCCTTAACCAATACACCATCTAGTCATCCAATTTAAATTTACTATACATTATACGTTATTGTTGATTTAAAAAAATCATCCTAATATGAAAGGATGTTATTTTTAATTTTGATTAAATAATTTTAAATTAAACAATTTTTCAATTTCGTCATCCTTGTTCAGTCACTCCATCCCCTACAGCGTTTTCTCCATTTCCAACAAATTCATCATCATCATCATCATTATTAACACCACCATCATCGTCGTCATCATTATCACCACCAATACCACCATCGTCGTCGTCGTCGACCACTGTGGCGCTTGCGATTGGTTGGTCGCTAGCCATTCTCTTCATCATCTTATTCGTTGGCTCAGTGCTGCTGCATCACAAGGATAAGCTGTAAGATTTTTTACGGTTGAAAAGAAATTTATTTTTGTAATTTATTATTAAAATAACTTTAATTATTGAATTATTAGAAGTGAAACTCTAGCTAATGATTGAATTAGTAAATTTTAAGATGGGTTTTATATTGTTATTTCTTGAATATGTTTGTAACCGTGTAAAAATAATCACTGGCGATATAAATTAATCGATTCATTAATCTATCAATCAATTATTAGCTGATAATTATAAGCACTCTTGTTTTAAGATATGACAGTTTTAGTACGTTTGACAGCATTGAATATGTTAAAATTAAAACATTTTCAGCTTATTTAAAAACATTTCTATAAAGAAGGTTTAAAAATATTAATGAGATATTTGTTTTCTCAGTAGGAACTTGAAGTACCACAACCAAATTTTGAGTATTGAAGTAAATTTCGATTGCTCTTCACAGAACCCTCTGCCAAAAATCTCAAAAACCTGTCTTAAACAGAACATTTAGATCAACTTTGTACAATGACAACAACGACAACTACTTCAACGTTGGTTGCAACAACCAACCAAGTATAACTCTCAGTAGCAACAACAACGAAAGAGACGCTGCGTATGAGTATGCTGATCCAAGCAAAACAACTGAACATCAATACCGTGTTGTTCGTTATGGTAACAATAATGATACTACTACTACTATTACTACTAATAATAATAATGATAAATATGATAATTATACCAATAATAATGAGCAATAACTTATTTTTTAGTATTTTGTGTTAATAATGCGTTGTGTGTGTGAGTGTGCGTGTGTGTGTGCGTGCGTGTGTGTGTGTGCTATTGATATCTAGATCAGGGGTGGGCATAAAAAAGGTCGTCAACCAGACATTATTACCCGAAAAAGGAGCCACAAACCTTAAAAAAATTCTCCCCCGGGTCGAAAACATTTGCTATTAAAGTACATATGCGGCCCTCACAGCAAAATGTTTGCCCTCTTTTGATCTAGATAACTTATTTGAAGTTTGTTTATTAATAAATATATATATATATATATATATATATCAATAATTATTAATTAATCTATAAAGATAATTTTAACAGGGTAAACTTTCAGTATATTGGTAGAATCGACGATGATATTGTTAACTTTAATGATAACATTTTAATAAATAAACTTTCCCTGGATAGCTTTGTGTTCCGTTCAATTATTACATTAAATAATAGCCTAACTCTAGTGACCAGAAACCTGAGAAGTGAAAATATAGTATCGTAGAAGTGTGATTCAAATCTTTCTCAAAACTTACCAAGTAATAATTAAAATGATGGTTGTCTGAAACAGTTACAAGTTTTTTTGTTCTGCATTGTGTGGCCCTCTGGACTGCTTAGATATCATTCTATAATTCTTATAGCCAAACTTTTCTGCCACAATAGATGTACTATACACAATAGATGTAAGTACTTGCACACACACACACACACACACATCCAAACCACATAAGGTACACTTACATGTGCACGCGCATGCTAACCGTGCTAACTTGTCAACTCACGTAAAATTAAAGAATTAATCAATGATATTGAATTTGAAAATTTTTTTAAATCATTAGTTCAAAAAATTGTTAAAATTTATTTAATTAAAAACATATTGACAAAATAAGATTCATAAGAAATTTTAGTAAACTGGCGCTATATAAATTTTCAATTATTAAAAAGCAAATTTTTCAATCAAAATTTTGTTATAAATATAGAATTCATTGTTTGGGTGTTATCAGAGTATGATTTTATTTAATACGTACTCTCACTAACATCATCATTTCACCTCTCTTACTTCTTTTTCTTATCTCTTTCTCTACATTTCAAAATATTGAAACTTTCGTACATAGATATTTCTTACACCATAGAATCTTAAGTTTATTTAATTTAATAAATTTGGCATTTTTCAGCGGTTAGGAAGTTATCTCGAATTCGAACCAAATAATTCTGGTTATTTTACAATAAAATATTCAAGAAAGAGAAAGAGAGAGGAAAAGAAGAAGAAAGAGAAAGAAATAGAAAGACAGGGCAAGAAAAAGTGATTGCATCACTTAATTATTTGAGTTTGATTCAAATGAAATCATAAAACATATCAATTTCTTATAGATACAAAAGATCAACACAACAACTCAATGGCGGAATGATGAAGACAACGGCAGATAAAATGCACTCTGGTTAAGTAGTATAGTTCAATTCTCGTGTGTGTGTGTGCAATTATTCAAGTCTTGCTTTACAACATACAAGGGATGGTTAGTTATTTGACGAGCATATTATGGAAGCAGTGAAACCGCTTTAAAATGCTTCTTCCAATCCAATTGGTTGATAATTACAGCCAATTATATGCATGTTCGTCATTGTTTTAATAGTTGATTGACAGCTTATCCTAATGAAATTTTCGAGTCTGTGACTTAAAAAGTATACTAATGCTTGCTATGTTATACCAATATTCAATCAGACTTTAAATGCCCCTTTTTATGGAAGCCCCTTCTGGGAAGACCCCGGAGAAGCAGTCCCATCTGCCCTTGTTTTATCCGCCCTGCCTGCTCGCCCATAGCATTTTTTCTCTTGAATTTTTCAAATTTTTCAACTTAAAACTGTCAAGTCCTCTTTTGAAAATGTTATCGATTTGAATGTTTGCGTTGCTCGGATGTTCTCCATGGGGCCACCAGGCAAGCTTCTATTTTCACATCAAGTTAAAAACACAACACGAAATTTTGATGATGTCAATTTTAAGAAATAAACATTCAATAACATTTAAAATAAATCTCAATATATGATTAAAATATATATATATATATATATATATATATATATATATATATATATATATATATATCAATAACTTTTAAAACAAATCTCAATAATTTGATTATAACCAAATAAATGTTAACATTAGCAACAACAAAAATAATGTTAAGAGAAAATTATTTTTCCATCATCTAGCGAAATAGTTTTCAATAAAATGTTAAATTGTTATAATTAGCCAGACAAAATCGTTTTTGAACCATGCGTATTATCATTTTTACCAATTAATTGTTGCACAATAGAGGTATAAAGTATGTTAATTAATGTTGTAAACATGTAAAGATGTCAATAAGTCTTCTAAGCATGCCATTTGATGTTCTTACATAACATAGAACATAAAATGAAAATAATGGGCTCATATTCAAAAATTAATATGTTCGTACCCAAAATATTATAACACAAAAATGTAAAAATAGTTAATTAAACATTAATTATAAACAAATTATGTCCATAGGTGCAAACACATTACACTGAGACACAACCCTAGTCACTTCAAAACCATTAGATCAAAGCCCATTCACTCTGACAACCGAATGACGTCTCCATTAATAATTCCTCATCCAATCAATAAAATCCTTCTGAACTTCATAACTAACCAATAGAACTATGAAATCATTTTCATTTTCCAAGAATGTCTCAATAACATCCTCACCACAAATTAAAGTTAATTAATGTTGCAAGCATGTTATTTGATGTGATGAGTTTTACTCAATGTTAAAAGCAAGCTATAAATGTTATTTGATGATATAAGCATGTTATTTGATGTTATGAATGTTATATAAAGTTATTAAAAGCAATATAAAAAGTCTTTATTGGCAAGAGCTGATTAATTGATTTGCAATGATATTTGCTGAGATGGCGGCAGAAGAAGGTGATGGTTTACAGATAAGCGGAAGCAAATGAATTTTTAAAGATATGGTGGTTGAAATGTGTTGAATGTTTATATGTGATGACGCAATTTTATATTTGATACGATGATGTATCGGCAGCCAGTGCAGCTGAGCCAGAGATGATGAACTGGAAGTCAAACGAGGTCATTCTAAAACAAGTTTGGCTAGTCTGTTTTGAATGAGCTGAAGAGAGGAAATTGGATACGCCGGTGCTACATATAAGTCAAGGCGAGATAATACAAGAAAGCGAGGAGGCCATTTCAACTCTGAGAAAAGGTCGAATGTGGTAAATTGACCAAACAAGGTAATTACATATTTGGGTGAGAGCAGAAGTGTGAGCTTTGGAAGCTGGAGACGAATCGGGAGGATCACCTAGCAGTTTAAGACTGGTTGATGCAGAGAAGTTTGATCCAGCAATTGACAGGTTGGAAGTTGGAGAACATTTCGTAAGATGCTGTGAAGAAAAACATTAGTTCAGATTTTCGTGTTATTTGTTGTCTAAAAAGTTATTCTATGTTATGAGTTTGTAATTTGATTTTATGGATGTTACATATAATGTTACAAAAATATCATATAAAGTTATAAAATGTTATTTAACTTTCTAAAAATGTTAATTAATGTTATTTCATGTTACAAATACGTTAATTAATGTCATAACGTTGACGATTTAGTAGCAGTAGTAGTAGTAGTAGTAGTAGTAGTAGTAGTAGTAGTAGTAGTAGTTCACACCAACACAAACATACAAACACACACAAACACACATACTCACACATACACAAACACACACAAAACCGAACATACACAGGCACACAAAAACGCTCACAGATATATGTTAAAATTGTTTTTATAAAACATCTAACATATTATCATTTTTTACATAACATGTAAAAAACAAACACACATACACACAATACACATACACACAGTACACATACAAACACACACACACACATATATTTTTTCTTAATGTTTTAAAATCTTATTAAAATGGTGCACAGATAAATAATGAAGGACAGTGGAGAACCAAATTATGAAATATAGCCAAATAAAATGATCATAAAAAATGTCATTAAAATTTTGAATTTCTGACCCCACCACACAATTCCGGTGGGTCCGCAACTGCTGATATGCTGCCCCTACAGCCCCATATTTTCACGGGTTGATGGTGGCGATTGGGTAGAAGGTGAGGAAGATGAGGAAAAGGAAGAGGATGTTGGTGTAGATCTTACTGGGGGCAGTTGTGGTAGCTGCTGATAAAGTTGTTTTCGATTTGGCTGTTGTAGTTGTTTGAGTAAATTTTGTCGTAGCTGCTGATGCCATTGCAAAAGTTGTTGATGTCATAGCAGAATTTGTTGATGTCATTGCTGAAGTTGTTGACGTCACTGCTAAAGCTGTTGACGTTGCTGTTGTGTCTGTGATTTATTTTTTTAAAACTTAAATATTTTTTAAAAACATTGTTATCAAAGTCTGCCTACTGACCGTTAAAGCAAACACAGTACATCCTATTTGTCGAGCCAGTTGCTTTCACTTTCATGATCGCTGCTTCATAATATGCATGACCAAAGAGAGGGGAGGAGGGCGGATCATAAAAATCACTTGGAACTGGACTGTCATCAGAAATCCAATAAAACTCGCTGCCATTCACTACGCGAATATTCAACCACGTATAAATGTTATCAAAAGTGGTGAACAGTATGTCTTGCATTGTTGTCAAGTTCTCTGGACCCCTGAATTCAACGACCGTCAGATTATTTAATTGACACTTTGATTGGCACTCTGCGAACAATATTTCAATTTTAAAGTTTTGATAACATAAGCCACGCAGGCACATGTATGTGGGTGGGGGGACGCTTGATTCCACATTGACTGTCCATATAGCGAACAATGCCACCAGTACTGAATATTAATGAGGGGTGGAGTTTCAATTTTAAAATTGAAGTGAAAATTAAATCGAGTTACTATTATGCAACGAGATTTCATTTTAAATTCAATCTCATATATACACACATACACACATTTGGATTTTGGTATTTTGGATGGAGCGTTAAAATACCTGTCTGTGCGAAGCGTTTAACATAGATTAAAGCTGAACCCGGATTTGATTATTACTTCCTTATAGTTCTAATCAATTATGGGTTCATACAGACACACATACACATGCACACAAGCACACACACACGCACAAACACACACACGCGTAAGACAAATTTCTTCCGACCAACAGCTGATGGGGGTTTCAGATTCGTGCCATTAATTTAAAAACACACACGCACGCACACACGCACACACACACGCACACACGCACACACACACACACGCACACACGCACACACACGCACACGCACACACACACACAATTGTTATAGTAATTTAATGCTATGTAATGCACTACAATGCAGAAGTTTGTAAGCGCTTTTTAAAAAGATCTCATAATGTAATAATATGAAACGTAATGTAATGTAGTACAATGTGATGAACTGTTATGTAATATATTGTAACGAGATGTAATGTTTGTAAGATATATAATGTTATTTTAACGACTGAGCTGCTTTCGAATAAAACATCAACAACAACAACAATAACTAATAATAATAACAATATCTACAACAAGAAAAATAATGTTATTATTATTTTTATTATCATTCTTTCTATTTTTGATAATTTATTATTGCTGCCATTTTGAAAAAGTAAAGTTGATGAACGTTTGGACAAATGAATGAATGAACCAACGAATGAAAGAATGATTAAGAGAATGAATGAACGAACGAACGAACGAAAGAAAGAGCGAGCAAACGAACAAACGAACGAACGAATGAATGGAATTGGTAATATTTTATAAAAATAAAGTAAGATTTTTATATAGATAACGCCATAGATAACAACGATATAAAAAAATACCAACAAAACAACGAATGTGTATATATAAGCAACAATGTGTGTTAAAAATTATATAATAATAAATTATATATAATAAATATAGTATATATATATATATTATAACATATAATAATAATATATATATATATATAATATATATATATATATATATTATACAATATACAAATAATATATATAACAATACTTCAATGCAAATTTTTTAAAAACGTACAATGGAGACAAGTTGGCAAATAAACAAATGTAATAATAATAATAATAATATATACTTAATAAAAATAATAATAATAATAAATACTTAATAATAATAATTAATAATAATGATAATAATTAATAATAATAATAATAATATGCTTACATGTTAAAATTGTTAACAGAAAATGGTTAATTCTTACTGCACACTCGAATTATTATTCGTATTCAACAACAAAATTTTCCAAAAATTGACAACACATCAACATAACTACGAAACATCAAAACATCAACAGAAAACATTTAATATTATCAACAAGACATCGACTAACTCCAACAATACATCAACAAAACTTCAACAAAAATCAACCAGCAGCAACAACTGCGTCATATAGTTACACTGACAAGGCAGGCATTTGAAACAAGGCATAAATGATATTTGTTAGCATGCAGTCTACCGTAATAGTAAAAACAACAGCAACAATAACAACAAACAAATACAAACAACAATAACAACAAACAAATACAACAACAACAGCAAATGCGTCATATTATTCAACAAAATTCTTTCATGTCACGTAAATTTTTTTTTTGCTTGAGTAGAAGCAATGACAAGTAAATTAACATTAATGATAATACAAACAACAAAGATAATAATAATAACATAAATACAACAGATGAAATGGTTATAATAATAATAATATTATTATTATTAATATTTTTATTATAATAATATTATTATTATTAATATTTTTATTATCGCGGAAACTATACTCACGTACACACATACATACAGGTACACACACACACACACACACACACACACACACACACCAACAGTTCTTGTGCTACCATTGGTTGGGCCTTAACGCGTAGAAAGTCTGGGTAGCCAAGCGCATCATGAGTGATTCGTGTGTGTGTGTTTGTTTATGTGTGTGTTTGTTTGTGTGTGTGTGTGTATGTGTGTGTGTGTGTGTGTGTACGTGTGTGTTTGTGAATTATTTGAGTGAAGCAGAGCTCATTGCACATATATCTATTGATACATAATAATTTAACTGCTAGATCATATTATAGATACTAGCTAGATACAATATAACAATATAATTTGCTAGAAAAATACGTAATTTCAAGAATTGATTACACAATCACACCACACACACACACACACACACACACACACACACACACACCACACACACACAAACACACACACACATGTACACAACACGCACAATCAACTTAATTGTCACACAGAACTGGCTTAGCGAAAAATCTTTTTTGATGGTTTTAAAATATAGACGAAGATGTATATTTTTTTGAAATTATTCGCTCCAGCCGACTTCAATTTAACGCATTATTTTATGTGGAAGAACAAAAAATTGAAATTACACTGAATACCAAAAAGGTATTCATGGAGCTATAACAATTACACGGCAATAAAATAAGATAATTACAGGCTTTTAGGCCCATATTTAGCAATTATAGAATTATATAGTGTGACGAAGAATAACCAAAAGTGATATGGCTTCCACCGATCGATCGATTGATTGATTCATTGATTGATTCATTGATTGATTGATTCATTGATTGATTCATCGATTGATTGATGATTATTTTGAAAATTCTTCATAAATTCTAAAACATTTTTCCAATTGGTATACCAAAATTTTTTAAATATTACAAATTGCAAATGAAAAACTAAACCGATTGCCTTGTTCCACATCCTTCCCATTTCGTCTGCTCCTAATTTGATCTTCAAAACAGAAAATTCAATCAAAAACAATTATATTATTTTTGGAAATTCTTTTCAAAATATTTATATTATAAAATATAAATATGATATATCTGAAGAGCCTAAAACGCTTAATCCGATACAAAGGCTACTGTTAGATTTTATTCACCGCATAATTTTACAAAATATATGAACATATACATGTTTAAAAAAAATAAGTTAACACACACAAACAACTAGACAGACAAACACACGCACACACACACACACACACACACACACACACACACACACACACACACACACACACACACACAAACACACACATACACACATACATATACACATATATATTATATATACATATATATATTTATATATATACAATTATTTATATGCGAATATATCAACATTTACATGTATGCATGTATGTATGTATGTATGTATGTATGTATGTATGTATGTATGTTTCAACTTCAATTTATTTTCCGTAGAAGAAGACAACAGCACAACTAATTTTTTTACATCTCACTTCATGCTACAATTTATCACCGATTATTACAATTTCAACAAGAACCAGCATTAGAAAACAATCAGTGATAGACAACATTTTTGTGAACTGTTTAAAACCTTCAAGACTGAATGTCGTTGTGATGTGCGATCTATCAGATCACTTTCCGATTTTTGCTTCAATTGATGATGGAAATAGAAGCATTGATGTGAAAGATTCAACACAAATGAAATTCTCTTTTTCAACACATCGTCTGCGGAGATTGAATGAACGTTTGCAATATCCTGACTGGAGTGAAGTTTTTGATTGCATCGATGTTGATATGGGGTTTGAATTGTTCATCAACAGATTTCAATCCTATTTCTATGATGCGTGTCTGATAAAATCAAATAGAAAGAAAAACAAACTCTCCAAACAAAAGCTGTGGTTCACTGCAGAATTTAAAAAATTATTAAAAAAGAAAAAATGTTTATTTAAAATATATCTGAAAAATCCGTCAGAAGATCGACTTTTAAAATTCAAGACTTGTAGTAAACTGTGTACCAACTTAAAAAACAAATTAAAACGTAGATACTACACCAACCAAATCGAGCAAAATATAAACAACAGCAAAAAAACTTGGTCAATAATTAAGGAAGCATCGAATAGATCCAGTAGCAATAAAACGAATTTGCAAGTAACTTCAAATGAACAAATAATTGAAAATCCAGAAAATTTTTTGAATGATTACTTTATCAACATAGCACCAAATCTGCTTAAATCAGTTCAAACAGATAATCAATGGAAAAAGTTTCTTGGCAACAAAATACCAAACTCGTTTTTTTGCCTCCACGCATCTGCAGAAGAAATTATTTTCGCAACAAAACTGCTGGCTCCAAAATCATCTAGCGGCTGGGATAGCATTCCAACAAAAATAGTCATATCAACAATCCACACCACAGCCTGGGTTCTCGAGCACATCATCAATCGATCACTCACAACAGGTATTTTTCCTAGATGCTTCAAAACATCTAAAATCATACCGTTACAGAAAGTAACCGGAAATAATGATGTTTCTAATTTTCGACCCATCTCATTAGTTCCTGCATTTTCGAAAATAATAGAAAAAATTATGCATAAACGAATAATATCGTTTCTAGAAAAAAATAATATTCTATCATGTTACCAGTTCGGGTTTCGAGAGAAACATTCAACAGAACTGGCAATAATAGAACTCGTAAGGAAAATTGGAAAGCTTGCGGAGAAAAAACAATTCATCGTAGGAACATGTCTAGATCTGTCGAAAGCTTTCGATTGTATTGATCATTCCATTCTGTTGGGTAAAGTTGAACACTATGGCATAAGAGGAACGACTTTGAAATGGTTTGAAAGTTATTTGTCTGAAAGAAAGCAGTTTGTCAGCTGGGGAAATAAAAATTCAACATTACAACATAATGGTGTTGGAGTCCCACAAGGAAGTATCTTGGGACCATTACTTTTCATCTTGTTTATCAACGATTTGCCAAATGCATCAAACTACTTTGATTATGTTTGTTTCGCAGATGACACCAACACTTTTGGTAGTGGAACTAACATCGATGGTGTTATTGACCGAACAAATTTGAATTAAAAAACGTCGTCAAATGGTTCAACGACAATAAATTAGCACTGAATACTTCAAAAACCCAAATGATCGTCTTCGGTCCAGTGCAGTGTTTAAACTATAAAGAACCGTTCAAAATTACAATTAACAATCAACAAATAGTCGAGAGCAAAATAGTAAAATTTTTGGGTGTCCTCTTAGATCAGAAACTAACGTTTAAACCCCACGTCAATCACATTTCAACCAAGTTGGCCAGATCAATAGGAATAATAAATAGGATAAAGTTTTATCTCCCAAAAAAATGTTTAAATCTTCTTTATAACGCCATCTGTCTGCCCCATGTATCATACTGCAACGTCATTTGGGCCAGTGCTTACCCATCCACTACCATGTCCGTAAAAGTTCTGATGAAAAGAGCAATGAGGACCATCACGCTTTCTCGAAAAGATGCTCACACACCTCAACTGTTCAAATTAACTAATAATTTAGATTTTGATAAATTAAATTTATATTTTAAAGACAATTTTGTATATAAACAACTTTCAAACAAACTTCCTTCTATTTTCAATAATTATTTTATTCCGATAAATAATTCCAGACGTCAATATAATATATTAGCAAATAAATCAAAAACACCCATACTTTTTTCTCATATTATTTGTAAAGGACCAAGAATTTGGAATGCTATTTTAAAACATGGTTTTCCATTCAATAAAATTTATTGAATTTATTGAATTTATTGATTCAATAAAATTATTGAATCAATTTTTATTTATTTATTTTATTATCTATCGCTTTAAATTTCTAATTATTACATTGATTTCTTGATTGAGGAATTGGTTGATTGCTTTATTGATTGATCTCATTGGAAAAGTCGCATCTAATTTACTCACTTGAAAAAATCCCCAAACATCAGTATATAGTTTTTATGTATTTAATTACTGTGAGATCTACTATTCATGTCGTTCTATATGTTGCTTAAATATATAGATAACTATGTAATGTCTATCCCGTGTTTTTCTGGATAGATACCAAACATTGTTATACATAAACCGTGAACCATCGTACTAACAACTAACACCTGTTTTGCTAACATAGTTGAGTTCGTTAATTTACTAACAACTAACATCTAACATGCCTCTCATAGATCATTCGGGGGAAAATTTTTATTGTTTGCTGAAAAACTTTTGTACAAACATAGAACATTTCTGTTTAGGTGGCCATACTAGATGAATTTTTTATAAATTCTATTATGGTCTTCCTGCTTTCTTTTAATTTTGAGAAGCAAATAAAATTTCGTTTCGTTTCGTTTCGTTTCGTTTCGTATGTTAAATCCAAAACATGATGAGTGACACTGAACCGTCAAACATCAAGTAACAAATGGATTAACACTTTGATTTGTCGTTAATTGCACATGTCGGCATTCAGTTGGATATTTTCAAGCACACAGACACGCAGGAACCGCTGCAACAAGCACGAAATGTGGTTAGTTGCGAAAAACAGTTCCCTGCTGTCGCCTGATCTAACGCTGATCATTTTGCTTATTTCCTTAAGAAATTTAAGGGTGTTGGGGTCCATCGGGCCGAGAACCTCGATGCATATTGGCAAAAATTCCATCGAGGGCAGGGCGTTCCCATATTTTTTCATTTGTATGTATGTATGTATGTATGTATGTATGTATGTATGTATGTATGTATGTATGTATGTATGTATGTATGTATGTATGTATGTATGTATGTATGTATGTATGTATTATTATTATTATTATTATTAATTAAAGAAAAATTTATAAAGCGCCAATTAAAAGTTAAAATTCTCAAAAGCGCTATCTAATATCAATAAAAAACAAATGAAATATAAGTGAGTCGGCAATGCAAACATTAAAAAATGTAACAGAAATAATTATAACAAAAATAAATGAGTTTTCAAATTCTTCTTAAAAGCTTCAAATTTCATCCCCAGTGCTCTCAACGATCTCGGAAGACTGTTCCATGCAACCGGTCCTGAAACTGCAATGTCTCTTGATGCTTTCTGTAACTGAGTATCAGGAACAACCAATATAATGCCATTGTCTGATCTCAGGTTCATACCACTCGACATTACTGGTTTAATTTTAATTTTTTTCACTAAATATTCTGGGAGCAAACCGTGAATAGCTTTGTACATTAGAACACACTGTTTATATACAATTCTTTTCCTGACTGTAAGCC